AAATAATCTTAGACGTAAGGCACCGCTTTACCGCCGGGTTCCTGGCCGTGCCAACCGCGATGACAGAGAGCCCACAACGGAGCGGGTGGGTGACGCGACGGCCGAGAAGAGGAAGTGGGGGGGGCGAGGTGTTTTCGTAAATTTCACTTTACGACGCTCCCTAGCTCGGCCGATTTACATGATTGTCACGGCGTTCGGAGTCATAAGAAGCATGTCGCATGCGCCTATAAGACCACATTTATTAAATTTGTTCTCGAAGTTTGAAGAAACTAATTTTCAAATTCGAGTTTTGTTGATTTTGGAAAAGGGTCAACTGTAGCGTAAATTCTATTGTAAAAAGGCGTCAAAATGCCGTTTACAGATCGAAAATCGGACCCATTGGTTTCAGACGTTATCGGTAAAGTAAATATTTTACTTCTTTTGGGCTGCCAGTGGTGGCTACTATTGTACTAGTGTTCGGACATTTAGCCTTAAGAAAAAAACGATAAATTAACTGTAAGATAACCCATCATAGTATATGTGTTTAGATGACCAGGTGCGAGAGATACGATGTGAGAGAGTGTGGTAAGCGGAGAGAGTGGGCAAGCGAGAGGGTGGGCGAGAGAGAGAAGGACGAATGAGAAGAAAGAGAGAGAGAGGAGTGACGGTTGAGAGTGGGTAAAGGAGAAAAGTGGGTGGGCGAGGAGGGAATGGGTGAAATGAGAGATAGGGTGAGGTTGAGAGTAGGCCCGAGTGGAAGACGGTAGCAGTGAGAGAGTGGACGAGCCGAGAGAGTGTGTAGCGAGGGAGTGGATCGCGCGGGGAGTATGGCGAGTGAGAGGAGTGGGCGCATGAGAGAGTGGTAAAGAAGTGAGAGAGAAAGAAGCGAATAAAAGAGAGTCTGCAAGCGGCTGCTGTGTGTGATGGCAAGTCTTGCAATTCATCGTTGCACTACTTTACTCGTAGATGGCGATCCACATAAGCGAGTTTGATTCTTCTCCTGCGCGTTCACCTCTGTGGCCATTCGCCGTCTCTGCTCACACACACACTCATTCAGACATCCCCAACCACACACACACAGCACACCCACACACAACACACAACACACACACATCACGGAACGACAGAAAACAAAAGTAACAACAAAGAACTAGTAGAAAAACAAAGAAGTGATTGGTAGGGCCAAGTTCTCTTTTTGTGAATCGCATTGTTAGTGGATTGCAACAAACCTACCTGCCAAAAGCACTAGAGACTCTTCCTTTTAATGGGGTATCCAATTTAAAAATATGCTTAAACTAAATCATCACTAAAAAAATACTGAGACATTATCTCATTATTATTATTATTAATTATTATATATTATATTATTTATGTGTATCATATCAATATCAATCCTCTAATTCCTAATTAGTAAAAATGTTTTGTAATAGTTGTAAATGTTCACATTTCTAATTGTAATCATGTTTGCCACGAGCATTAGCTCAAAGCAACTTTAATAAATCCATATATATCTAACACAACATGCCAGCGCCCTCCGCAGCACCCACCGCCGATATGTCGAGCGCTGCAGCGCGTGATTACGGGTAGACATCGAATGCCCTTGCTGATTTACCACTTCCTCGCAGAGCTTCTCCACCAAGATTTGCGTTTTCTCCACGAACACTTCCTGAAGTTCTCCAGAAAGCTTGAAGTGGAACGTGGGGGTGATCAGCTTGCGGTGCGCGAACCACTTTTGCCCTGCCGAAGGAGTCCTTATTCTTAGTAAAAGCTTTGCTAGAACTATCGTAAATGGAACCAGTGCGCCCCTTAAGGCTTACCTGTGCTTGTGAGAAGCCCAGTTCCTAGCCAGGGATGTAGGAAATCGTAGACATATCCTTTGTTGATATTCACCGAACTTCGTAGAATAGGCTGGAAAGAAAAAGGAATGTAAAATATCCTTTCATCTAGAGTTCGTTTAGAGTACCTCCGCGAGAGCGTAGGGCGTACTCTGAACGTACATATATACGTTTTAATATTCGTATAGAATAGAGAAAGTTATATAATGCCGCGGAAAATCGATTTGGAGATTTCACCTGAAATTCACATCTTGGGGTCCCCTGACACCGAAATCCTGCCGGTTTTTTCAATGCGTTTCCGTCTGGAAACAACGTTGTGAAAATGAGCTTCAAATTGGGCATTTTCCGAAACACTACAACAACATTTTCTTAAAAAAAGCTACAAATTTTTCAATCAAAAGGAACATAAATATTCAGGTTTCCCCTTCTACAATATTCAAGTCATAATTGCATTGTCCTATTTTTGTTTGTACTTGGCGCGTCGGCCTGAGTACGGGCCATGGCCTATCAGCGGCGTTCCGAAGGTACGTGTGGTTGGTACGAAGATATCCCCACGCCGTATTCCCGTCTTCTCAAGAAGACTGAGAAGAGAATTTACTCACCGTCACACAGCAACATATACTGGGACATTGCAAGGAAAACACACATTATAATCTTGCCTCACCGGGAATCGAACCTGGAGTCGCGTCAAGGGAAGCTTTCATCATTTTTTTGTAAATCTTGAAGAATTAAAATAATGTTTAAATTCTTATTTGAACAAATGTTTTCTTGTGTTGATTTTTAATGACGCCCCATTCTTTTCTACTGATAAAAAGGTACCCCGTAGAATTTGAGCAAGATGGGGTATCAACAAGGCGTCGACATCATAAAGCTGCCACAAGCGTGGGAACTAGTTAAAATTTTAAATTAAATAACCAACACGACGTCACAATACATACATCTACATAGTGCGGACTGTATGACTGGCAATTACTATGTAGTGTAGAAAAAGTATTGTAATGCTGCGGAAAATGGATTTCGAAATTCCAACTAAAATAAAAGTTTTGCGGTCACCGGTTATCGGAAAGGTGTTGTTTTATGCCAAAACGTCCGTTCGGCTGTCTTTCCGTCTGTGAAACACTAGCGACTATTCGGAGGATTTTCCCATAATGAATGTTGGGAAAGGTCTCGGCAGCTCGGATGTCGCCGATTAAGATCATGCGCATTTTTTGAAAATTTTGATTGTTTTCGCGTAATTTTGAAAGAAATATGGACAAATATTAAAAATAAGATTCTCTCAAAATCATATCCAATTTTTTCCTTCAAAAGTATTTTACTAATAGTGCTCATTGCAATGTATAATGTTACATAAGCACCATATGAGTGTATTCTTTTGTTATTTCAAAAATTACACAAAATTATTTTTTCATATCCCGTTCACGTCGTTAATATTTACATTACAGGCATTTTACATTATTGTATTTGCCTGTTTTACATTATTGCATTTGTGAGTAGCAAGGCTTTAAATTATTTCTCATGAAGTGTTTAGAACACTTTATTTTCGAAAATGAGATCAAAATTTCGCAAATTAACAATTGCTAGAACATTTTATCAAAATGAATCCACTTTTTTCTTTAAACTTATTGAATGGATAGTGCTAAGTGCACTGAATAACATGCCTCTAACTCTATTTTCATTTGTTATTTTTATTTTGCAATATTACGGAAATGTAATTTTTTGAAATATTTTTCACTCCGTGAAGATGAGCATCAAGTTGCGCGTTTACAAAAGGCACAAACGATATTTTCTTAAAAATTGCTTCAAAGTTTTTCAATAGGAATTACACATAGGACCATGTTTTACACGTCTATAATATTATAAAAGTCATATTTGAATTCCAGGAATCGGGTTCCCTCTCGTAATAACTGATAAAATGTCGAAACAAATTACGCACCTATAATTAGACACTGGGAATAGGATAGGATAAAATGGGAATGCTAGCCGAAACTTAAACGAATAGGAAACTAACTGGTATGAGGATGTTTCTGCCAATTTTTTGAACCATTAGTTCCCTTTACACTGCTTTTGGTGAAAATTCAATACTGTAAAATATAGAGTAAAAGTTCTCGTGAATTAACTTGAAAAGGTAGTTAAGATTATTGTGATATGCAAATTATTATAAAGTCACAGCAAGTGCATATGAAGGTTTTAGGTCTCTGTGTGATCTTTTATAAGCGTAGCTGATGGTTCGCAAAGACTAAAGAGCGAGAATAGATGCTTGTCAACTGCTTTTTGTTAATAATTACTAAATTATTTTGTCAAAGTGATACCTGATCAGTAGTTAACTGCGTTATCAACGACTAACTGGCGTCGAACCTATGAATTATACGTGACATAACCCATTCACTCTTCTTCTATAAAGTGGAGTTTATAGAGAGGTGTCTATAATTATGGATTCAAAATACTGCAGTTGGTTGAATGTCTATCATGAAGTATTCTTCACCCTCTCTTTCTAGCAACGTGTGGGTACTTGAGAACCGTGTAGCAGCCAGTCATAAATTTTGTTAAAAAATTGCTCCAAATACGCTTTATTACAAATTAAAACATGACTACTACAAGTAATCTTAAATAAATGGAAAAGTTCACAATGAAGAAACCCGCACGAATATGAGCCTCAGATTAGAATACATTGCTTATTGCTGGTGAAAAAAGCGGGAAAACAAAATTCGATTAATAATTTCTTTGTAGTTAGTGAAACAGGTCTTACTTCCATGTGATCAGCATCCATGATATGGACCTCAGGAAAAGATCCATTCCATGTTCTGAATATCGGCCAGAATCGATAGGTAACCTCGTCGATTCTGTCCCAAAGCCCTGCAAAGGAGAGTTCGCCGTAGCATCACCAGCCCCGGTAGTCGCTAGCGCCATCTCTCGGAAGTCCGTCTCTCACCTTCTCGCGTCACTCCAAACATTTCGTGCACTGTGCCTAGGACGGGCAGCTTAAGGGGGCCGGGAAACTTGTCGACCGCCTGCGACACACGCTTTTGTTCCGGATCTCGTGAACGCCACAGGACCCAGAGGGGAATCAGAACCCCCGCAAGGATGTAAAAGATATTCAGGTCCATGGTGCTGGCCAACTGAAACATACGTTCGCACTAAGTAACTCAAAATACTATCGTTTTTACTGTTTTGTTTAGTTTTTGTAAGTTGTTAATTTTAATAGTACCTTAATTTATATGAATTATGTTCATATTCAACTAAAAAGATCTAATCAACTCCGATTTGATTTCAGTTCTGAGTATACCTTGGATTAATGGACTGCAGAAACAAAAATGCTGCTGAACCAAACTACACGAAATGCGTTTCACAATTGTAACATGCACTCTGTTCAACAACATAAAATACTCTCAAATATCACTTCAATAAATTAAAAATTCTAACAAAAATAGTATTCACGAATAGTGCAATAACATAAGAGAACAAAAGAGTTCTTTACATATCACGAATATAAAAAATGGCCCATCCTGAAACAATTGTGAATAACAAATATTTAATGATGAGTGCTCTCTTCCTTGGAGTCTTGCTTACCGTATTGTCAGCTTATCCTAAGCGGCACTAAGTATGAGAATTCAGTTCTGCACGGATTGTATAGCAATAAACGAAATGACACAATCAAGTATTTGAATTTTTCAATAAAATCGAAACTGTCTCAGTGTTTTACTTCCTCTCGACGGAGTACACAGAAAGTTATGTAATGCTACACCAAAAAACTGAGAATTTTTGGCAGAAACTGTTACAAGACCCTGGTAAACGAAAAAAATGGATAAATTCAGTTGGTCAATTTTGCGAAAAATCCTCTAACACGTGGTGAAGAGGATCCATGTTTTGTGGAACCGACAATCCTAGTTATGTGGGTCCTTGATAACGAAAAATCGAATGACAGCAAAACATCTGACTGTCCGACTGTTAACAACGCTAGCAGCCGATTTCCTCAAAAATCGATTCCCCAATCGATTTTTTTATTGTCACAGCCCCTTGAATTTGAAACCGGTATTTTAATTTTGGAGGGTACTTTACATGAAATCCCCGGGACACTTTCAAATTATTTAAAAAATAGGTCCATCATTTTTTATTGAATTTTGTTTTTGGGTAGAGTGAAGGCCGAAGGTAGTGTGAAGCCGCATTTTCGTTAAAAACACTGCTTTTGCGGAAATTGAAAAATTTTTTTTCAGCGTCTTCCTACAACTATAATTTTGAAGATAGAGATTTTTTCCCTTAATAAAATCTGTTCCGTAATGATAGATTTTGAAATAAGGTCATGCACAACTTTTCGAAAATTTGAGTACTTTTCGCGTAATTTTGCGAGAAATTCCGCGCGAGAAAGTACGTGCTGTTTGAGCACCACTAGTTTTGCCTTTCCCCAGTCCCTGGGAATTTAACGAAAATCATAGGCACCTCTCACAAGGCCGTATGCTACAGAGTTTTCTTTCAATTTACGTTAAATTGATACTAACTAGTGGAGTTACAAAAGCACATACTTCTTCGCTTTATTTGTAATGGCTATAAAACTCATAATTAATTTAATGTGCATGCATTAATATAATATGCAATTATTATATTATGCAAATATTACAATGCATGAATCTGCAGATATGTTCCAACTAGCACAAAATCTTTTTATATTGATCACGACACTGAGACTATTGAGTTTTTTCACATAATAGCATGATATCGTTTATTATAGTGTGAAATCGTGTAAAAACGTATACATAAGCAAAATGTGTAATACATGTGCAAAATTTCCATCGTACTCTACAGTACTATAATTTCCTCCCCTTCTTTCCATAATTCTATCCCCCGCACCTGACAACCCTCCACACGCCCCAATTTGCCGGCTCCGATGATCCAGCCCAAGAACAACGACCTTGGGAAAAAACAGCGTCCCCTACCCCCGCTCCTACACGTACTTGTCACTGAAATCTGTTTACGTGCAGTGTCAAATCTCGCCACCTTTCACGTTAACAGGAACCAGTCGTACACCAGTCACAGATACACCTTGTGTGTTGTAACTACGATTCGGATAGTGTAAAGTCGAATTCCCCGCGCTTCGTTTGATTCACTATTAGCAGATGCTATAGAAACCACAAAGAACACTCGGCGATATAACGGGAGACCCTTTGAGGCTAGCGACCCTAGTGGCGCGACCTGTGATAACCGTGGTGATGTCAGTACGAAGTGTCTAAGTTTGAAAGTCTTTTAGTTTACTTACGAGTATATTTACTTACGTTCCACAGAGTGATTCGAAAGTTATAGAATATGTATTGAAATTTGAATGAGTCTCCGATTTTCAGTTCACGTTAAAAGTATGAGAAAGGATTAAAGCGTCCTATATTGTCCTCGTAGTATTTGCAATGAGTTCACAAAATGGAAACACGATTGTTTCAAATTATATTCGAATGCTTCTTCTTGTCACTAGTAGTGATGATCATGTGACAAAAAGAACAGTCTTACGAAAGGAAATAGATTTAAGGAAGGTAATATGCTTAACGTAAAACTAACAAATGCCTTTTTTATTTAAGAAGTTTTGATCGCTGATTATGGTATTTGTAAATTGTTAGTTTTATTATAAATTGTTGTTCATTGTAATCAAGGCAAGCTTGTGTGAAATATTATTCTTTGTTTTATGTATAATGTGATGCAAATTATGTAACAGTTTTTATTCATGTTTGTTTCATTATTAAAATTGAGAAATGACTACTGTTCCTGGCTATCAAAATAAACACCTCCAGGCACGCACCGAAAATTTCTGGCATAAAAAAATTATACATTTTAATAATTTGCTCTTTTTCAAATAATGCGAGAAAGTATACGATGTTGTAGTACCTTTAATTTCTTAATGAAATATGCAAAAGTTTTCGACAGGGTCATGTTCAATCTTTCGAAAATACGGTAGTTTTGTGTCAATTCTCATAATTACTTCTCATTATTGGGCGATGTTTTCGACTAAGGAATGGAATTTTGGATTGTTGAATTTGTATTGATATCTTAGCTATAAATGAATTACATTTCGAACCTAATGCGCTCAGTGTATATATATTTTATTTATTTATTTTGGCCACAATTGGCGTCTTTGCCAGGTGGTAGCCAATTAATTTCATTATACAAATGTAAATTAAATATAATGTATTACCTAGAACACTGTATACCCCAGCATAGCAAAAAAGCCTCCATTTCACGCGTACACATGTGAAACTCAGACTCTCTGCACACACCCAAACACGCACGCACCACGCACAAATACGTATATACTCACACGCACACACACACATACATACATACTTATACACACACATATTCATATATACTCATATACACATATACATACGCATATGCATATACACACGTACATGTGCGTATACGCGTATATACACACACACACACCTACACATATACACACATACATATATACACTCCAAAAATGTACTTACAGCTAATTAATAACGAGTTTAATTAATAACGAGTGTAGTAACGAGTTTTACAAAAGATGTCTGTGATGCGTTAATATACCCGAATTGATTGATTGATTCGTGTTTTCGAACACGCCAACTGCTAAGGTGCTTAGTCCCGTAAGAGTAGTGCATGTTTTTATCGCGGGAGGTGGCGGTGATCTTTTCCCGTTTGATGGCGAGATCCGGTACCATCCTACACGTCGGTTAACGAAACTTTCCCCCAACAAGTATCTCCCACCAACGGGACACCGTCCTCGTTGTGACAAGGTTCAAGCTCCTGACCAAGGTCCAAGGTCACCTGGAAAGAATGGTAGTGTAGGTATGAGTGAAAGTAAGGGTTTTGGATAGGAGAAGGAAGAGGAAGGAAAAATCGCGCGATTCGTGGCCCGATGGGTAGGGTACTGCTCCTGCATTGCCTGGCGTTGATCGGAGAGACCAGGCAAAACTGTCGATTAAAGGAGCCGGCTGCTAGAATTCTCCTCCACCCTGCGGCTAAATTCGGCCTAGCTTCCTAGCAAGTGTCGAAAATCCTGCGGGACTCGAACCCTAGAATTTCCCGATCGGAGACACTGCAGTGATATAAATTGATTCCCTGAACCACCTAAGCCGGTAATATAAACAGAAAATGCGATATTGAAACATAACCCTTACTAATGAAAGAAAGTACGAACTGTTGTAGCATCACTTCTTAAAATATCTCTACAAATTTTTACTTTATATAGTTTCTTATGAAAAAACGTTATTCTCTTCTGGTCGAGCATAAACTACCTTACTCTTCATACAACTAGTTTCTGCAGTCTTTGCTACATTCGCTAATGGCATAATGGTTTCAGAAGCTTACCTGTATTGACAGACTTACTACAAACAAGCGTAAATAAATCCAGCAGTTGTGGAGGTAGTCCGTTGTGTACACAATCACATTGTTCAATACTGGTTTTATAAATCATGTCTTAGACTATTTTGCCTTATCGGAACAGATAAAAACTCGCATATCATCATATCGCGTTTGCAGTGTTGCATCAGTTGAAGTACTGTATATTGTTTTCTGGTGCATTTTTAGAGATTCCTTGTAACGCACGACTAATCAGACGCTTACTTTTTCTTAAATCTGGAACACGAGATAGGTCAAAGTTTAAAAAGTTTAACGATTTCACTTCAGACGACAAAACTTATAATAGAATTCAGCTATGTATTAATGACGCATCTCATCTGTAATGCACTGGAATATGATGTAAGGACATTGGTTCACCCATATCGGTTTTTACGTTATTTCTACCGCTTACGCAATAGAGAGAAAGTAATGTAATGCAGCGGGAAAAAGCGACGAATTTTCATTAGAAAAATTATTATGGCCTGGTAACGAAAAAACGGATACATCTAGTTGCTAAATTAAGAAGAAATTCGACTAACACGTGATATACCCGGAATCCATGTTTTGTGAGTCCTTGACACCAAAAAGTCGATTGACGGCAAAACGTCTGTCCGTCAGTCTGTTCGTTTGTAAACAATGCTACTAACGGTTAAAGTATTCAGCTGATTTTCTCCAAAATTGATATTCACCGATCGATCTGGCGGATGTCGCGTCCCCTTGAAGTTGAAAACGAGATTTTAATTTTGGGGGTCACTTTATATGAGACCCTGGATCATTTTCCGAAGTTTCAAAAAAAAATTGCGCCATCGATTTTACTTCAATTTTGTTGTTGTAGAGTGTAAAGAAGTTTTAAGAGAGTGGTGCAGATAACATTTTTGTTAAAACTAATTTTTTGAAAACGTCGCGAGATGTGTCGAACATAGGCAATATTTATTTTATTTAAACACTTTTTCTTAAAAACCGCACATTTTTTATTAAATTGAAACCTTAGAGAGCATAAAAGAGTAAGAGAATAGTGCAGGTCTCATGTTTTTTGATATGCCTGGTTTTGCGAAAATTTTACAAAATTAAAACCATTTCGGCGCCTTCCTACATTTGTGAAGATACAATTTTTTTCTTAATTAAATATGTTAATTAAAAACATCTCAAAATAATGTCATTTGATTTTTTGTTGAAAATATTAGTCTTTTTTAAGTAGTTTCGTGAAAAACAGTAGCTCACTCCCAATTGACTGCGTTCCGTTAATGTAATAGAGGTTATTCCAACAGAATGCTTCGTAAGTTAGAATTTGTACATTATTTCATATTTCTTTGTTCGTTTCTTACATTCGAGTTTTTGTTATACGTTTACAAATTGATCTTTCATAATTTATTTAAAACTTTTAAAGTGCCATCTTTAATTGAGTTAAATGTGAGAACGAATAAATGATTTTGCTTTGCATAAAAATGCAATGAAGAGCCAAAAAACTTGTACAGCCATGCGTATTAATAACATTGACCACCAACGAGTAATTGAAGCAGAAAAAACATACAGAACATCAGTGTAGAGGCCAGGATCAGTAAGAGAGCTGTAAAAAGGAAGAGAGATGACGAAATGCAGAATTCTGATTATAGGGTAGGGCAATTATAAACTGGTTGTAACGGCAGAAAACGATTCTAACCTTTAAACGCGTTTTCCCAAAACTTCAATTTTTCAACATTCAGGTACATATATTTTTAAACCTGTTGCATGTATATTCAACAATGCAACCATGGCATATTCTATACAGAGCATACAACAAAACAATTCTCAGTTGTGAAATACTTTCTGTAAAAAATATAATATTCACTTAAAATACTATAAAAAGTTTATAGCTTATTCAATAATTTGTTTAAAAAAACATTAGTGGTTAGTGGCTAGTACGCATAGGCAATTAATTTTTCCTTGTAGATGCAAGTCAATGAACATGCTCTTTATAATACAATGTTAAAAATTTTGTAGGTCTGGTTTAGGTAGATATTTCTTAAAAACGAATGCATACAGGCCTACAAGGTTAGTGGCTAGTAGGGGTAGGCATGTGTAAGTTAAATTTAATTTTTACTGCGAAATTTAAATGCCTATAGCTCCCAGAAAAAAACATTATTAATCAAACATGTTCTGTTAATTTATAAACGAGTTCTATGTTTTTCGCTATGGACTTAACGTTTTTGGGGGGAAATGAAAATTAGTTGCAAACAACGTGCCGGTAGATGGCTCGCATAAGGTCAGAGGTACATAAATGCTCATGGGTTGCTTTGCTACTCTAGGAAGGGAGTTGTTTTTATTCACTGCGTGATATGAGAGTTACAGATAATTTAGTTTTTAATATTAAATATTAATAAAAAACCTTCTTACGTAGTAAAGGTGAGAAAGTAATAAATAGTTTTTGTGAGTCTATAATTTCCCTGTTTTAAGACGTTTAGATTTTTGATTTTGTGTTTGCTGGCTTTATTCTAAAGCTAGTTAAACATTGATTTTTGAAGAAACTACAAAAGTCAATATTTCTGGTTAGGGCATTTAATTCGCGAAAAATTAACCTAAAATTGTGAGCTCTCTTTCTTTGTGTTCTGCTGTAGTGGGACCAGTCATCTTTATGATTATTCATTTCATCCCTCTTGTTCACGTAGAAGGAATCGATATGATGCTCTTGAATTATTTGTTCGTTCAGCCATCACTTAAGAATATAGTGAACCAGGAAACCACCGCCTTTACCTTCTAATTCTTACCTTTAGATGTCGCTCAAGAAGTAATATACTAATTTTACAATAAACTACACTGTTCAATATTTAAGGAAGCATCATCCACAGTGGCGTGTTTTGCGTGCAAGATATAGCTTGACAGACTAGAGTGACCGCAGACAAGGTAGCTACAGACAGTGGAGAGCTTACGTTGCATGGTTGGACGAGGGTATACGGCTGTAGGATATACTACTTTGTTCATTTTCTTACACTTGTAGTGCAGGTACACCTCCTCCGGGTTAACAGGACATTAGAACTTCTGTCTCTAGCCTTTTTTGGCATTCTTTGTTCCCACCGTTAACGCAAAACCGACAAAATGTGACATCGAATCTTTTTGTTTGCACCGTTATTATTTGATATTTAATATGGTATTTTAAATGACCGTACATGTTTCATGTTCCAAAGCATTTTAGCATATACGAGTTCACAACATTCCAAAACATTCCGTTCTAAAGACCCAAATTGGTATACGCTCGATTACCGCAAGTGTCACATCGCTGCGCACACTCACATGTTGCCACGTGCGTTGCTGACCACTTGATGAGCAGAAACTCTTCTGCCCATCTGGACTCTGTCCTGTAAAGAAGGCCAAGATTCCCAAGAGTTTCCACCAACTCCCTGCGACAATATCGGGCTTTTCTCTCATGAAAAACGGCTATCTTTGTAGCATCCAAAAGAAAGCAAATTCTAAAAATGGATTTATTCCAACCACAATCAGTACAGAGGTAGAAAAATTCACGCCAGATCTAAACAATTTCCCAGAAGATGTACTGAAGAATGTCCAAGTCACAATTCCACGGGGGGATGTCCAAAATCGCAACCGTTGTACCGTTCACTGTTTCACGAGAGAGGGAGTCCGTATCCGTAGCCGTGTCGTCGCACTTTGTTCACCATTCACTAGTCACTTCTCGAAGCAGGCAGGCGCTTGACTGGCTCTCTGCTCGCCGGGCGCGGCTCTTATAGCTGGCCCGGGGTGCGGGTCCGCTGGCCAGCTGTCCGATACGGATGCGCCCGTCCGCTCCGGAGCCTGGTCGAGCGTGACGGCGCCACGGTGTCTGCTAACGCCGGCCTCTCTTGAGTGGCGCCGAAACTAATTTCCGGCGGCACTTTTGAAGGCACGCAGTCGACCACAGCAATCTTTGTGAGCGCTGCTCGAAACTGGTTACATTAATTTCTCACGGCGGCAGTCAGACAAACGATTTCACATTGCTCTCTGTGCTAATAGAAGTACTCACAGAGTCATCTGTTGTTGTGAACACTTGTTAGAACATCGTTTCTTTCACACTACAAATTAATTTGTCTGATTCCATAACATTTCTGTTGGAAAAAATAATTTCCACAACTTCTGCCCCAACCTTCGTAGTTTAATAATTCAATGTTTGAAGTAGGTGATATAAATTTCGATTTGGTTGACAAAATATATTTATTTTCAGACTGAATACGTGTAATGGTCTGAGGTAATGTTTAAGGCGCGTTTAAGGCGGTTACTTCAATTTTGAATTTTTTTAGACACACTAACTTTCAAAATATATAATTTATTTTTGTGACTAAAGACATGATGCAATCTGATCTAGGTGGGGAAATTGACAAAAGTAATAAGAGAATAAAAGTCTTCAAAGGAGAACAAGTAAACATTTTTTCTAGAAAGTTAACATTTTGTGGGATACGACCAATACTGAATAAAAATTCACTTTTTGTGTGACAATTTTTTTTTTGTAAACAGAATAAATGGGGTAAGTAGAACTTCAAATTTTTGACGACCAGATTTTTATGTACTACTTTCCTACCTTACCTTAGAAGATGTACTTTTTTATCTATTCTTTCCTACACGGATGTATACTATTTACCTCCTTTTCTCCTATTTTCGAAGAGAAATTGCGAGGAAGAATTTGTAAAGAAAAAATTACAATTTTTATTTGACAATTTATTAATTTAATAAGAGTAGTAACATGTTTAAAATAATAATATTTATGTTTTACTGAATATTTACAATACATACACATTCGTTTCACTAATAAGCCATGTGTTAACTTAATGACAGTTATAACTAAATTTTACGACTAAAATGTGGTTTGAATGAGCAGATCCAAATAAATGCAAAAAGTTTCACAAAATAACTCTTAACTTTACTAGTCAATAGTAAGAAGAGAATGTTATACTTAATGCATCTACTGCAAAGAAATATTTAATAAACAAATGAGTGGACTTTATAAGCAATATTTACTTTTATAAGGCTGTAAATTCAGCTCTCTTGTTGCTGAACAATTTAACGGCTAGCACAGAATTGCATTGTGCATGGTTTGGGGAATGATGTTTTACGCAAATTTGTTATTTGTTTAGTAACGCATTCCACATTTCGGTAGCAAATCAAAATTCTTATTTGCTTCTTACAAGGAGTGGCGCATGCCAGAAGTTGCGGCAAATGGTAGACCTGCCTTAAGACCACTGGAAGTAACTTGATAGTCTCTTAGAAGTTCCACGCCGTGTGCCGAGAAAAGGTAGTAGACAAATTACCACAACAAAGCCCACGAGATAACTCGAAAATTTTCTAAATCTTGATCGTATTTCTTGAGAAAAAGAAAATGCTATCTTTGCAAATATTGCTGAAAATTCATAATTTTAGGAATACAAAAAAGCAGAGGTATAAATTAAAAATAATTACAAAATATGGATTGTGTAGTTGCACTAAATGTGCTTGGTGAATGCAGAGTAGGGTCTCCATGTCCCCCTCGTCCTCTATGTAGTGCAAGTGGCAAACCAGTTTTTATTTTTTAAATAATTTTAATAAATATTTAAATAATTTAATCCGAGTCAATTCTTTGTTTTCCTTAAATTGACTATAATGATAAATTTCCAATTTCTAGTACTAGTTTTAGAGCGATTAATGTCCTTATTTCTCAACAAATTAGCCACCAGTAGCCTGCAGCAACAAAAATGTCTTTGTCGAGTGAATGGACAATGATGACATTGAGCACCTAAGTACCGTGAATTCTCGGCTATCAGTGAGTTCGTCACTGCCCTGAGGAAGGCTGCGACATGTCAGGCGAAACGTCGGCACCCCAGCCAACGACGTGGCGTCTCCCGGATAGCCGAGAATTCATGGATTCGAGCCGCGGAAGTTTACGTATACATCCACCTAAGTACCGGTTCCGAAACGATTCATGATCTATCTCTACACATGACACCAGAATGTGTCGTAAGATGTGACGCACTGACTAAGAGAATATAATCGTAACATCAATAATCAAATATCTGCATTATACAGGGAAAAAAGTAAACTTTTTCTTTGTTTTTGAATTTTTACAAGCTTTCTGAGTAGTAAATGAAGCTACTCACACGGCTGCTTAATGTTCTGTTAATTGGTGCTGCAAATGTATTTCGTCAATTTGTGTTGCAAAAATTGCAAATGGCTGCCGCGGATGTTTGGGAAAGGGAGCAACGAAGTCAGCGCGGCTCGATGACCAATCGGATGCCGCCCTGCGGACGCAGCACCAGCTCTCCATACAGGCGCACGTC